CACATCTGTGTATTCATTCAAACATTTTAAGTCAAAATAGCTCAAGTTGGAGGAACTTTTGAAGGTCTAAAGGGTCTGAAAATAAAATAAATAAATAACAATTTAAAAATAGACATTGTAATTCCAATTCACTAGAAATTTGCAAAATTCATACATTTACAGACAAAAAATGAGTTGATTTGATAAGAATTTGTATTTTCATAGTGTACAGCTACAGAACAGAATGTACTTGTCCTGATACTTGTGCAGCATCATGGATGGTTTGTCTCTCCTCAGCGTGGCGGTTTGGAGAACCAGCTGGCTGAGGCGGAGGAGCGTGGCGAGCTGGCCGTGAAGGAAGCCAAAGCCCGGACCAGAGACCTGGAGGACGCTCTGCAGAGAGCCAAGCAGGACATGGCCAGACAGCTCCGGGAGTACCAGGTGAGCAGCGCAAAGTCGTGGCTGTAAGACGAACTGATAGAGTGGACGGGAAAGAGAAGAAATTTAACAGCAGAGGGAATAATTCTGGTCTCCACCTGCAGGACCTGATGAACCTGAAACTGGCCCTGGACATTGAGATCGCCACCTACAGGAAGCTGCTGGAAGGAGAGGAGGACAGGTGAGAGGAGGGCCAAGACCATGTGACTGCCACAACAGGGCGTGTTTAAAACCAACAAGCATTAAGTAGGGGAGGGTTGGAAAAACAAGATTTTCACATGAATCATCTTAAACTACATCTTAAGGAAAACAGTAATTAGACAACTGGAAAGGACATTTTTACCGACTATCTGACCTAATCACCCTCAATATGCATTTGCTGGTTTGTTTACATGTGTCACTTTCTTGAGGCTCAGCTGTTAAATGTATTACTGGATCACCCCATAAAGCAAATATGAGGACAGTTGCAGGTCATTTAGGTTTGATGGTTGACTGTATTTTTGGAGTCCTCAGAAGAGGAGCAAAATCATGTGGAAGTAGAGACTCTAGGAAGACTGCTGCTGCCGAGACGGGGCTGTGTTGGTTAGAAAATCTCCAGCTGTGGAACTTCAACCGATGAATGTGTAGGTCTGATAAACATCCTGGAGATGGTGTTTCTCCTCTGACACAGTCAACTGGAAGAAACGAATAGAAGTGGCCGGACCAAACACTCAGCTCCCAGTGATGTTAATGAAAGATGCCACAACAAGGAAAAGAGTCTTCCTACCTCCAATCATTAGTGGCCTTCTGCTCGAAACTGCTGAATGACAATAGCTCAGGAACTATTAAAGATAAGAAGAATAAATATTCTCTAATTATGCATGACTTTAAATAAATAAATTTTAAAAAAACAAAAAAAAACTTGAACCTCCATCAACTAATCCAAGTAAAACAGAGTTATGGCATTTCAAAATGGTTCTACAACTATAACTAAAAATATATGTTTTTAATACAAGCATATGTTTCATTTTTTAAACACCTCAAAATTAAATACACAATAAAACATGCTGAAAGTGGGTCAACGGGGGAATTAAAGATAAATATCTCAGGCCGTGTGTGACAAATCAAGCTAAAATATCACATCAATATCTATTTAATATCCATATTCTATGCTAAAACAATTTGAGGCAAATCAGAGACTGTCGAGCAAAAATTGCTCCAAAAATGTGATGATTTGAGATGGAGTAACCCAAAAGGTGATTTTAAGGGCTGGATTTGATTCGACTCCTGCAGCATTAAACCACTGTGTGTGTGAATATGTTGGTGATTAGGTGAGACAGCAGTAATCCCCAATGTAGAAAGCTAAATGTCAGTCCCAGGCAACTTCTTTCTGTGTTTGCTTTTATTCAGGCAGACAACGAATGTAAAACTCATGTAAAAGGACAGAGTGGGAGGTTGGAGGCACACGTGTAAGTTTTAGGAGGAGATGCAAATATTTACAACACATGTATTCTTCTGCTATCAAAATATGAAAAAAGCAGAAGATCAATTTATGAAAAAAAATGCTGTGATATTACTCATAGATGCAACAAAGCCTTAGACAAGGAAGCATCTTGTTTCTTCAGCACTGAGTCTTTTTTTCTCTCAAACTGTGAACTGTGAGCTCATACAACCATTGAATGTATTGCAGAAAACTTAGTTAGATCCATATGCATTCCAGTTTATTCTGAATTGTGAAAATGAAGATAAATGAAGACATTTCCACTATAAATTGATGCAGAAAAGGCAGAAATTGGTGCATTGAGGTTCACTGGTTTACAGAAAATGAAGTCTTTGATGCTCTAAATTGCCCTTCCCATGTTTATTCCATCCCCCTGCATCCACAGGTGGAGGAGTTAACCTTTGTTTCTTCCTCTGTAGACTTGGACAGCAGTCCATCCTCAACATTCAGGCCGTTTCTAACTACAGTAAGTAACAAACCAGAGGGTGTTACTGTTTGTAGCATGAACACTGGAATCACCTTCCCATAACCGAGACCTTTACGCCCCGACCTGAGGGAGTACAATAATTTTTTAAAAACAGAGATCTAGCGGTCAAACACAAAAAAGTTCACTCTGTCTCTTCCAGCATCTTCTTCCTGTCTTTCTCTGTGTGTTTCTCTCCAGGTACTAAAAGCAGTAATGGCTACCACAGTAGCAGCAGCTCTCCTGCTCCAAAGCTGCTGATCAAGACAACTGAGATGAGAGACAACAGCAGATACAGCATTCACTGAGAGCACACACATCCTGAGTTCCTACAAATCTCCAAATGTGTGACAATGCACACTTGATTACTAACTTTAACTTAGAGTAATGAAATATAAAATCATCTAAACTCTGGAAATGAAGTGGAAATAGCGCTGGGGAGTGTTGTTTCTAACATGAACAGTAAAGACTTTAATGTGTTCACTGTAGTCTGTGAGGTAAAATCTGATTGTAGTGACACAGGGCCTTTAACAAGCACTGTGGTAGGCTGCTGTATTGTTTTCTATGTAATCTGTAAGAATATAAGAATATTAGAGTCTTGCAAATCATGTTGGTGATCCTGTTAGGGTCTTAGAGTCACTGGGTTTGAGTTGTCACCTTTCTGTTACTTTGGCAAATAAAGTGAACAACAAGGCTCAAGTGTTTCTTCTTCTTAAGTGTAAAAAAGTTGTCGAGAAGCCAGATAATAATGATGAATAAATACACCTTTCTAAAGTGTTAAATGAATCATGGAGGTACAAACATCAACCCTTTTACTTTGTGTGTGTGTGTGTGTGTGTGTGTGTGTGTGTGTGTGTGTGTGTGTATTTGGTGGATAATTTAAACTTAACTACTAAACAATCACACTATTCCTGTATTTATATACATCGTCTGCAGCACATCATAAGTGACAACTCTTCAGCATGTGTTTTAAAAATAGAGTCTCAAATTTTCAAATTAATCCAAATTATAACCAAATGTGATTGCATAAATTGAATCCTGTAATGATACCAAGTAAAACGTTGGCATGTGTGATAGATAGATAGATAGATAGATAGATAGATAGATAGATAGATAGATAGATAGATAGATAGATAGATAGATAGATAGATAGATAGATAGATAGATAGA